TGGGGTGCAGGCTCTGGGATGCAGTTTGGGTCCTGGGTGCAGGCTCTGGACTGGGGCAGGGGGTGGGGATGCAGGCTCTGGGAGGGTGTTTGGGGTCGGGAGGGGGTGTGTGGGAAGGGGGTGCAGGCTCTGGGAGGGAGTTTGGAGGCTCGGGGGGTGTGCGGAGGAAGGGGGTGCAGGCTCTGGGAGGGAGTTTGGAGGCTGGGGGATGTGATGTAGGCTCTGGGAGAGAGTTGGGGATGGGAGGGGGTATGTGGGGTGGGGATGCAGACTCTGGGAGGGGGTTGGAGGTGCGGTGCTTACCTGGGGCTCCAAGGTAGGGGGGAGCCTCTGCAATCTGTTGGCCGTAGACACCACCCCCACAGTGCCCCATTGGCTGCAGGGGCGCTCAGGGAGGGGCAGCACGCACAGGCACAGCCCCCCCCCTTGCCCCGGGGCCACAGGGAGGGGCCAGCAGCCTCTGGAGCGAGCAGGAAGACGCCGCTCAGCTCCGCTGCACTGCCGGGGCCCCTGGAGTCGGGGGGCGGGGGGAGTGTCTGGGGGAAGCAGGTGGGGCCAAGGGAGAGACCTGGCGGCAAAACTGCTAAAGCTCTGCAGGCCACATTCGGGAGGTTCGCGGGCCGCAAATGTCCCGGAGGCTGGGAGTTTCAGACCCCTGATATAATTGCTTCAGCCTCATAGTTTCCCAAGTCCAAAAGTAAACATCTCTTCAAATCCAAGGGAGAGGAGATCAGTCAATGTTCAGAGTCGTCCCACGTGAAAGCACCACGTTATGGTTCATGCTGGCCCCATCATGTGGCCATCACCTTTCCTTCCTCTCCCTTACAAGTTTTGGTATTTTGCATAGAAACTTTCTTCCCTCAGGAGAGACCTGGGAACCAGGGCTGCCAGCCAGACAAACACCTTCAAGAGGAGGTGTCCCTCTCCCAGTCAAAAAATGATCTCCCGCCCTCAGTTCCGTGACAGCCTGAATTGTTCCTTATCCCGCCAGCGCCAGTTTGAGTAAATAAAGTTTCAGAGATAGTTATTAAGCTCACAAAAATAAGCCAAAGATCCCTCTGCATAACACCGGAAGGTGAAATAGGAACAGAGACAAACCTTGTCAACAAAGGCTAATTTCCCAAACGATCCTCAAAATGTTTCTAATTCCCATCTGTCCTCCACAGGAGCTCTGTGCACTTTAACTGCTCTGCAGCCAGCTGCCCATTAGAAGGGTTCTGTGGGACATTCCCAGACCTGGACATTTACGAACAACAGAATTTGAAGAGCAAACCCGGCTCCCTGCACCAGGCGGGATTGGAGTGTTTTGTCCCTGGCACTTGGTCTTTTCAAATAGTACAGACCCTCCCGTGCCCAGCCAGCCAACGAACTTGGGGAAAAGGTTGCAGGAAGCAGAGACCTTAGAAACAAGGAAATAAGAGGCCATTCATTGGGCAAGGTGGCCTAGTAGTTAAAGCAATAGTCTGCTCATCTGATGCCATTCTTGAGCTGCCTGTTATAAAAGGCTGGTTCCCCACTTCAGTTCCAACGGCTCTGCTAGAAACACCCCCAGGTCCCTGCTTACCCCAGTGGGAGCAAGTTCAGAAATCCCCAGTAGGTGCTGCCCTTAGCCCCGGGCTGCTGTCTCAGGGGTCAGGGGGATTGATGGTTTGCTGCTGAGGAGGGAGACAGGACAGCCCTTTGGGGCTCTGCTCTGAGCATCTGCCCAGCCCAGGCTGCCCGCTGGCCTTAGCTGCTGCCCCTCCATGCTCTGGAGCAGGGGTTCCATCACCATTTTTTTGGTGGCCTCAGAGTGTGGCCACCAACTTTGCTGGTGGCAGCTGTGGCAATTTTTCCAAGCCGGAGCCCCACTACCCCGGGGGTTGAAACCTGAAGCCATAGCCTATGGGCTGAAGCCCAGAGCCCTCGGCTGAAGCCCTGTGGCTGGAGCTGGGGAGGGCTGGAGGTGGGTAGGCTAAAGCCCAGAGCCCTGGGGCTGACACGAGGGAGGGAGGGTCCCTGAAACCCCAAGCCCACTCCTGGAGCCCTGGCAAGCTGGAGCCCAAAGTCTTCCCCCAGAGCCTCTCAGCCCCCTGGTAGGTGAGTTGGGAACTCACCAGCTGCCTGCAGAGTTGAAGGTTCCTACCCCGTCAAGAACACCCCCAGCCCCACATACCTGCAGATGCGCTGCCTGGAGCCCCAAGGGGCTGGGAGGTACATGACGCCGATCCCCTGCTGGTGGCGCCAGCAAACACCAAGGCCGTGCATCCAGGAGCAACAGCTGGGTGCTGCAGGGAGAGGCTGCTGCTTTCCCCCCACCTGCATCTTTGAAGGTGGGAGATGATTTGCTGACAGGGACGGCTGTCTCCTATTAAAGGTGTTTATCTGGTACCGTGTAGCAGGCACCCCTTGTTCCCAGGTCTCTCTGAGGAAATAAAGTTTCTGTGCAAAATACCACAACTTGTAACGGAGAGGAGGGAAAGGCGATGGGACCAGGACATAAGGGATGAAACATAACATGGTTCTTTCATGTTCATTAACTCTGAAAAGGGATTGATCTCCACTCCATTGTATTTGAAGGGATGTTTAGTTTTACCCTGGGTAAAATACAAGGCTGAAGTCATTTTATGGGGGGTGACACTAGGATTCAAGGGTTAGTTAGTGTGATAAAAATGGTTTAAAAAAAGTCAGTTTAAACGTGAGCTAGCTATTATCAAAGGCGTTTTCCCCCGGTCATCTCCAAAAGTTCTTCTAGAGACACCCTGGGTTCCACTGCAGCAGCCAGCTCCCGCCAGAGGCTTGTGCCTCGAGGCTTCCCCCCAGCCCCAGAGTGGGCTGTGCGGCCCCAGGCTCCCCAGCCCCGGAGCACGGAAAGGGCGGGTTATGTGGCCCTGACTCGACCTGCCGTAGACTCACGGGGCTCTGCACTCCATCAGCCGGGGCGGGCCAGGCTGCAGCCAGGACTCAGCTTCCCTGATGAGGCATGAGACACACCAAGAGCTTTGCGCAGCCAACAGGGAAGTGGGAGGGAGGTGTCTTCTAGCTGGCACGTCTTGTCCGTTTCTCCCTTGCTGCTTGGTGGAGGCAGGAAGGGACCAAACATTCCTGGCTCAAGGTTTAGCCCTCGACCTTGAGGATTAAGCCCGAGTGCCCGGCATGGCTGCTGGGAGATGGGTTTCTGATTTGCACCCAGCGCACTCTTCGGGCAACCAGCTGAACCCCCTGAGGCCAAGAGGGATGGCTTTGAGGTGGCAAAAAGGGGCCTTTGAGGAGCCCAGCACATCTTGAGGAGCAAGGAAATAGAACGAGGTAACAAGGTTACTAGTGTCCCTGGGTGGGCTCAAACCACCATCCTCTTGGTTAACAGCCGAACGCGCTGACCCATTGAGCCACAGAGACACCTAGAGACCTGTCTGCTGTTACCAAGGCTGTGCAGCCTGCAGATCTGCTGCCCACGCTAGAGCTTGCAAGGCGCTAGTCCGGACAGGACCGGATTCACCGTGGCACCAATGGCTCCACCGTGCCAGGCCCGAGCTAAGACGGGGCCCATAACACTCGCTTCCTCTCCTCTCACAGCGCTGCAAAACTGGTCCTGGTCCCAGAGCGGAGGGGGGACATGTGAGCTTGTTGCAGAGCTGCTGCTCAGGGATGGGAACTTCCTGGTACCCCAGCCTCCAAAATCATCCAGGCTGCACTTTCTGCACAACTACGTGCTAGCTGAGGGGTGCGTGGGAACTGGTGGCCTCTGTTGCAGGTGATGCATCTCAGGCACTTAAAGCCATGGTCTAGAGGAGGGAAGCACTTACCTGCAGAGTCTGCAGCTGCCTAGGGCCAGTGCTGAGGATTTAGAGGCCCTAGTGCCGCCGTTGCAAGGTTCAAGCATGCTCAGCCTTGGAATTGACACCCCTCCCTTGACTAGTAGCTGCGGCTATCTAAGGCTGGCCTCTGACAATTGGCCCCATGGCTACAGTCAGAGAAGCTGCAGGTGGCTCTGTGACTATTGGGGGCCATTAAGCTAGGAGTGGATAAAGAAACTGGAATTAACCTCAAGGAACAGAGGTCACCCATAGGAAAGGAATGTCAAGGGGATCAGGGAAAGAGGAAGCAGGTGAGGCTTGCAGTGGGAGAATAGTCCCAGCTGGTTGGGGAGCATGTCCAAAGTAGAAAGGAAACAAGCATGGGGAGAGGTGGTGGTGACCAGGCAGTAGACTAGCCTGTAGATGGGAGCAGAGGGAGAAAGGCTGGTGTGTTCAGATTCCCAAGGGCTAAGTCCTCACTTTGGGGAAATGGTGTTGGCAAGGGGCTTGGTCGAATGGCAGGATGGGTGCTGGGGAAGGGATTTGTCAGAACCTACCAGGTATCTGCTGGATTTGGATCTTTGAGCTGAGAGTGGGAGCACACACTGTGACTGGTGACATGGGGTGGCACTGGAGGCATGGCTATAGAAGTTCTGAATGAGGAAGGAGATAAATCTGTGGGGAGCTTCCCTGATCACTCTGAAAGTTCTGCTCACTGTGGACACTGGTAAACCCACATGGGTAGAGCTCAGTGAGAAGAACTGGGGGCTGAGGGAGCTGTGTATGGCAATGCAGCTAGTCATGTAGAGGTGTGTGATCAAAATGAAAAATGTCTCTGAGATTCAGGACCGGGGACACTAGGGCACCAATGGCCCTGCCACACCAGGCCCATGCTCGGAGCCCACAATGACAACATAGGGGCCCACAAATATGTTTGGCACCAGGGCCCACAAAAGGTTAATCTGCCCCTAAATCCACATGCTGAAGACCCAGCAGAGTGGCGCAGCAGCATCTTACTGGGCCCATAACCTACAAGTCGATGGATCGAAACCGTCCCCTGCTAGGGCTGCACTTGTTTCTTTTTGCTCTGGGCCTTCAAGTGAGTCGGCGACCAGCAGAGCGCCAAGAGCCTAGGCCATGAGGCCAGAGGTGGCTGAGGCGGGGGCCTGCCAGGGAGCTCCCTGGCATCTCTGGCTGTCTGGGCTGAAGGCAAGAGGCCTGCATGTGGTAAGGGCTCCTGTCCCGGCCTGAGACAGCCGTGCTTCCTCGTCGCCTTCTCCCACCCGCACCGGCAGGCGGCTGCTGCAGGAGAACACGAGGGAGGCTCTCAGGACGCTGGGCAGCTCTGTGAGGTGATCTAGGGAAAGAGCCGAGGCTCCCGACTCGACCTGCCATTGACTTGCGGGGCTCTGCACTCCGTCATCCGGGGCAGGCCAGGCTGTGGCTGGGACTCAGGCTGGGGCAGGATGGCCGCACTTCCCTGACGAGGCAAGGGCTTTGCGCAGCCAACAGGGAAGTGGGAGGGAGGTGTCTTTGAGCTGGCGTGTCTCGTCCGTTTCTCCCTTGCTGCTTGGGTGGGAAGGGAGTGAAATGTTCCCGGCTGCACGTTTTGCACTTGGCCTTGAGGATTAAGCCCGAGCCCCCGCCATGGCTGCTGGGAGATGGGATTCTGGGTCACATCCAGCGCACTCTGAGGGCCACCAGCTGAAACCATTGAGGCCAAGAGGGATGGTTTTGAGGTGGGAAAAAAGGGCCTTTGAGGCTTCCAGCAGGTCTTGAGGAGCAAGGAAGTAGCCCAAGCCTATCGTCCTCCCGGGGTGGGCTCGAACCACAATCCTCTCGGTTAACAGCCGAACGCGCTGACCCCTTGCACCACAGAGACCCCTAGAGACTGATGTGCTGTTACCAAAGCTGCTGATTAGCAGTCTGCACGTGTGGGGCAGAGCGTCGGGGAGTGAGGGGTGCAGGCTCTGGGAGGGAGCTTGGTGCAGGAGGGGGCTTCGGGCTGGGGCAGAGTGTTGGTGTTGGGGACACTGGGTATGGCCACTAGGTAACTCGAGGGGATGGAAGACCACGAGTGTCGATGAAGCCCCCTCGCACTAGGCCCAAGTGTCCTTGGTCCCCCGGCCTGGAGGCACTCACAGCAGTTATGCTGAGGATCTGCAACAATATGTTGCAGAGTCAGACTGCCTGAAACTAACCAAGGCCAAACAGGGCAGATATGGAAGAACTATGTTGAATAAAGCAGCTTTATGTATGGTTTAACAGATGGTACAGAGAACAAGGGAACTAGCTGGTAACTGGATTGGCTGGCTATATGGATACTTAGGGCAGCTTGCTCTTGGATAAGTATGCTGAAGAAAGGATGTATAAAAGCCTGTGTAACTTCCTGCTCTGTGTGCAGGATTTGAGATTCTATTTTCCCTATACCTTCTTTGAAGCTTCAAATAAACTTTTCTGCTTCTCCACCCCGTTGTGATTATTGGGTGATGCACACCAGGCAACGAACCCCTGCTGTTGCTCGCCTCTGGCACTGGGTGCTGGCAACAGATTTTGGCGTCCCTGAGTGGGCAACGAGGCCGCTATTTAGCCTTGCCCCGACCCCTATTGGAGGTCGAGGATTGCGGCGAGAACCGACGCCCAGTGCGCACCGGTGAGTTCATCGGGGGCCTCGGAGGAGACGCGATTTGATCGACCCCAGAGGGCACAACGGTGCAACACACTCATATAGTGGAGAAGCAGCTGTGGGCGACGGTGAGGAACCGGTTCCTTGGACATAGGGGAGGAGCAGCTGCGGGCGATGGTGAGGAACCGGTCCCTTGGATAAGGTAGGAACCTTTTGAGATCTGGATTGTATGCTCTGTTGGAACCTGGGGACGCCCAGAGTTACCCTGTAGGTATGGGACAGGGACAGAGCTCAGGGGTTAGGGCACAGTGTACGCCCCTAGAATGCATTCTAGCAAACTGGAAGGTTTTTGGTGTGGATCCGATGACTAAGAGTCAATTAAAACGATTCTGTACAGTTGACTGGCCTCAATATCAACTAGAGGACCAGGAGTGGTAGCCACTAGGAGGGTCAATTAATTACAACACGATCCTCCAGTTACTCCTGTTCTGTCAGAGAACAAGGAAGTGGAATGAACATATGTATGCGCATTTGTTTTTGGCTTTATGTACTCGACCAGATATTTTACAGCACTGTAATCTAACTCCGACTGGTTCGGTAGCAGCTAATGTTAGTCCCCAGACTCCCACCCCCACTGTAATGGCAGAGCCGGTTTCCCCTTCGGCCCCTACACCCACATCTTGTAAGTCCCCAATGGTTGGCCTATACCCCTTAATCACCAAAACTAAAGTCTCCCAGTCTGGATCGGACAGGCGTCCAGCCATGACTATGCAGGTTTATACTCATGTTCCCTTTAATCCTGTGGATTTGGCTGCTTTCAAAGCACAGGCAGGAGAGTTTTCCACCAACCCAAGCAGGTTTATTTCAGTTTTTGAGGGATGTCTTAGCAGCCACAAGCCAGACTGGGATGATTGTAAGATCCTCCTCTGAACCCTATTGTCTGAGGTTGAAAGACAACAGGTTGTGTCCAAGGCAAGGGAGGAGGTGCAGAAACAGTACGACCAGGATCGTATTAATGTCCCTGACCTGGATGCACAAGTCCCCCCGAGCAGACCCCAAGTGGGATCCAAATAACCCTGGGGATATGACCCGCCTTACCTCCTATAAGGAATTGCTTTTCCATGGACTCTGTCACTCGGCTGTCCGACATAATAATTGGGCAAAGCCATATGAAGTAATGCAGGATTTAAAAGAAAGCCCAGGGGCCTTTCTACAGTGTATTCGGGACACAATTCGACAGAACACTAACGCAGATCCCGAAGATCAGGCAACTGAGTCAATTATTAAGGGAATTTTTACGAGCAGAGCAGCCCCTGATATTAAGAGAAAGTTACAAAAAAAGGAGGATTTAATGGGCATGACCATGGCACAAATATTAGAGACTGCAAACTGAGCTTATAATCTGAGAGATACAGAGAAGGAGAGAAAGCAAGTGAGACTGATGGTAACAGTGGTACAGGCCGGCACTAAGGGAAGTGGCCGGGGAGGAAGGGGCCATGGACGCGAACGTCTGGGCTCGCAGGAGAGACAACTGGGTCGCAACCAGTGTGCCTTGTGTCGACAAGAGGGATACTGGAAGAATGAGTGCCCAAAGAGGAAAGAAAAGGGGGGTGCCCCTATGATGGCGATGGTGGAGCAGGAATAGGGGTGTCAGGGGAGACGGACCACCCTACCCCCGGAACCCTGAGTAAAGATGCGGGTGGGAAGCTCAGAAATAGATTTTTTAGTGGACTCTGGAGTGGCACGAACTGCCGTAAATCATAGAAGGTTAGGGTTGGAAGGGACCTCAGGAGGTCATCTAGTCCAACCCCCTGCTTGAAGCAGGACCAATCCCCAATTTTTGCCCCAGATCCCTAAATGGCCCCCTCAAGGATTGAACTCACAACCCTGGGTTTAGCAGGCCAATGCTCAAACCACTGAGCTATCCCTCCCCCAATCGACCCCTTCAGCTGCCAGTAGCAGATTCCCTTAACGTG